TGCCAAGGCACAGCGGAGCTTGAATGCTACCCATATAGAGAAGGCATTAAAGGCAATGTTCTAGATGTCCTCTGCTTGGTTGATGCATTGAACATTGCAGGCCTCCACACCCACTGTTATTGCATGGCACAGAGTAAACTTATCCCATGGTTAATTCATCAACCATGGCCTATGAGGTGGTGAATCGGCATGGACCCTGTTTTGGCTGTAGCACAGGCCCTCATGTAGCAGTAGTTCTACAGGCCTTTATAAACAAGCGGAAAAAAAAGAGATACTCACTTGAGTATTGCTCTGCATGACATCCAACTTCTTGTCCACAGACCGAAATATCTCTTTGGAGATATGAAAATGATCCTGCCAGCGTCAAATTAACATTGGTACAAGCAATTAATGTCTCCTACGTACATCCAGAGCAACTTCAATTGCAAGCATACTCATGCCCCCAACCTAAAATTCAAAGGGAGACATCAGCGAAGTGAACGAGTCATCAAAGGGATAAGACACTGTATACCATGAAACTATGGATTGACCAGGACAGTTTTAGTACGAGAGTGGTGGTTCTGTCTGCTACTTCATCGTGCTGCAACACTTCTGATTTTTGTTTCTGGTATTCAAGATACTGCGCCTCATAATTAACTGTCTCCCAAGAGCTACGTGACATGAGTAACCTATTATCCATATCATCACAGCAAACTTACGATAGCAGTCTGTCAAGTCTGGCCTGCATTAAGGGCAATATGTTCTGGCTGTGGAGTTCTGCGCTCTCATTTAGCATTCTCGCCAAATTCCTGGTCATCGAGGCCAATTTGTTAATGCTTCCTGTGTTTGCTCGCGATTTCTAGCACCTGCTATGAAAATCAGCACTAGGGAGACGGCCTGCAGTACACACCTGAGTCGATTCCAGCATCCTTTCAAAAACCCCGATACCCATCTGCAAACCCAGCATACTAAGATTGCCGACGACACTGCTGAGCATGTCAAGAGCCTGCTCCAAGTCTCTTATCATGGCATTGGCGGTGTTTTTGACCCCAGCCTGCTGTATCTTCTGTTTTAGACAGCGCATACTAGTAGCTGCTGGTGCAGTAGCTCAAAGTTGTACTGACCCCTGTCAGTAAGGGGACATATACAAATCCACTGGTGCCAAGCGCTGTACTGCCAGGACTTGGAGAATCACTTACTGCACTTGATGGCAAGTGCCCGAGGCCAACCTGCCAACCGCTAAGGCTCACTTGTCACGTCACTTCAGAGATCGGTTTCTCATGCAATAGTACACTAGGCTAGGTGGCTGTGAGGTCCACAGGAAGGATTCTTGGGATTCTGGATTCTGGATTGGCGTAGCAAACACACATCTCCTCCGCCCAACCCTGTACCGTCTCCGGACCCGCGCTGCACCTGCTATCTTTGCTTGGGTCAAAGGCCACACTGGGAATGCAAGAAATGAAGGTGCTGATGCCGAAGCTGCACGTGGTGCTCTACGCGATGACGCAGATGACACCCTACTCACCATAGACCCCGCATTTGACATACCAGGAGCCAAACTCTGCTCTCTCACCCAACTCCTAGCCTACCAAGGACTCCGCGATCAGCGCGGCCACACTTTACAACTCTCAACCCTAACATGACTTGCCAACATGCAACTCATGATAGAAGACTGCACAGGGAGTCTACCTACCATGGCATCCATCTGGAAAGGCCTATGCTCATGCCACCGCAACATTGAATGCAAACCGCGCGATTTCCTCTACAAGGACCTGAAAAATGCCTTCCGTATCGGTTGCTTTTGGTTAAAAATCTCCTGATATCACGACCGAGCCACTTGCGCGGCCTGCAAACAGCTCGAAGATCTCGACCACACACTCACCTGCTGCACCGCCCCAGGCCAGGCCTACATCTGGGGCCTCGCACGTAACCTCTGGCTGTTTGCCTACTCCGGCTGGTACAAACCCACGGCATCCTCAATACTAGAATGCGGAGCCATCTCTCTTCGCTCGACGACTGGTGCGACTGACACGGCAGCATCCCGACTGTACCGCATACTCTTATCCAAATTTGCATACCTCATCTGGAAGCTATGCTGTGAGAGACACATCAAACACACCAACCTCAAAGTATCCTTCGAAACCGAACTTTGCAACCGCTGGAGCTCTACAATACAATGCCGTTATGACCTCGACTGGGCCATGACCAACGATTGCTTTGGCAAGAAAACCCTGGACGGAAAGGTTGCCGCTCAAACATGGAATTCCATCGTACTCCCATTGTCCATGGATGATCGCACCGAGCTAATAAGTGGCTCTCAGGTAGCAGGGTTCTGGTGGGTAGAGGGCCACTGGATTGTCCTCCCCCTCATTTGGAGATCGGCAGCCCAGTCGGAGACCCTTAGGTATGTATATGGCCGTTAGGTCCCGAGTCCCACACTGCGTGCGTAAATGCATTTCCTCGCGGTGGAAGCTGGGTGTTCACACCCCCTTATCATGCTGATGGTGCGGGGCATGAGTCAACTCAGCTGCCAACCATCATATAGCCCCCCCCCTCCCCCTCCCAAAAAAAAAGAGAGATTCAGACTTAACTAGGCCACTCTGGTGGCCCTTCCAAACAGGACTACGGCTTGACAGGAAGTCCCGTCTCCACTAGCACTGCCTCTGACCCATGAACTCGGTAAACACTGGACTGTTCAATGCCACTCTCTGCTTCTCTCCCTTTATTTGCCTGTCTACTGATACCTATGGAAGGCTAGGAACCCAAACCTGAGGGCCCGGGCATAGCATGCGCATGCGCAGTCAAATTGCAAGGTGATGTGCCATCTTCACTAGGGGCCAAAATATCAAAGGCTGTCCGTTAATCCTTCTAAAAGCCAATCTGCAATAATGGATCAATAGAGAGGAGTGATACAGGTGCAAGGTCATTAACAAGTTATAATATGGAACTGAACAGACATATGTAGACAGCCCAGAACTCATCTATATGGTGAGCCCTTATTCTTATGTCTGTGGTGAAGCAGCTAATCTTCCAACAGTACTTCTTGGCACTTATCGTTGCTTCATTGGACACTCCTAATAAACTTTTCTCGCGCCGAACTCACTTGGCACTTTAGGCTTCAAGCTTCAAGGCTGAGCTCAGCCTTCGTCCATGTCTCTGATCCTGCTTTCGCATTTATTATCTGCATAGCTCTCTTCCATCTTCCCCCTGCACCGACGCTCTCATGTACTACGATACAATATTCTCAAAGCATGCTTTTCATCGTTTGTAGTAACTTAGAAAGCCAGCTCTTGTTGTGTGGATGTCATATTTTGAGATTAGCTTCACCATTCAAGCTGACTGCATTGGCTAGAAGGACCCAGACCAGGCCAATTTGGTCGCTGCACATATGCTTGTATATACAAAGTGAGTTTAGCCATCATTTGACTTGCCTCACCTTCGCCAATTGCTGTGGCTGGAGTTTAGCTCAATGCATCGTCGCACGCTTGCTCAAACCTTGGCCTTCCTTTCCAGCTTATCATGCCGGGCTGCACATTCCTCAGGCGCAGCCCTCTCTAGGTCAGATTCTACCCACAAAATGCTCCTGGGGTGCATCCTCCAATCCTCTGGCACAGAGATCCAGAGAGCAGCTCGTCGACAAACTATCTCTCAGCTCAGACAGGCAGCTGACAGTAATGCGCGTGTGAAGCAAGGGTGGTGCAAATTGTGCTGGAACTGCGTTTCCAAAACACGTAAACTTAAGCTTTCGAGTGTACCATGGGCTATCAAACCGGTTAACCTTGAGGTCATGCTCGGTCTACCCTGAGAGCCGAGCGTGCGCCTGCGTTCTGATGTTATACTTGCTCTTGCTTTCACTCAACGCTGTATGTACTGACCATGCTGACCCAAGCTGTTTCTACGAGCTACCTTCGAAATGTACTACAAGCTCTGCCGTACTCGCTAGACAAGAAGTCCGAAGACCCGAAGCAAGGCAAGATGGACTATCTCGCGCCGGCTGCGAGGATCCGGGATAGCTAGATCAAGTTACATGCAGCTCGGTCGGATACTTGGCAGTGGTATCATTACACACTGTGCAGTTGATGCCTGTTCTGTAAAGGTAAGCCTCATCGCTGCGATTGTAGCCGTGCGCAGGGAGGACAGGATACCGCCCAGATGTGGAAAACTGCTCCTGCTCTTTGCAGTTGTGATTAGACCTTGGTGGAGGCGAGGTCAAATGCCTCTGGCAAGGGAAAGGGCAAGTGTTAGTTGCTCCTGCCTGGAAACCCAAATACGAACGACAGCAAGATTGCCCAAAGTGTCGCCGCGGGTAAGTTGAGTGGGTTGCTTGGAAGGTAGGTGAAGCCCAGCCAGCTGCGTAAGCCTACTCCGACTTCGGTTGTGGTCATCCACCAGCCAAGCTACTTCTGGCTTTGATAGAAGCGTTTATCAACCTTCAAGACTGCTACATCACGACTTCCACGACCTTTTACATGGAGCTTATCCACGCATTCTATTCACTTACTCTTGAATATGGCCTAGCATATTTCAAGTACAGACAAAACAATACAGTTGATATTCAGATACACCATTGCATGCGACTACTGTGTAAAATTTCCAAGTATCAGCTCAAACCAGAGACGTTCAGCTTACGTGCATTCTCAAATGCCAGATTATGCCCGAAGTATCCCACTAAACCCCGCCAGTCTGCCAGCACCCAATATAAGCGCGTCTGCCGGGCTGGGGTCAGAGAGAAAAGCCAGCCATCCCCCACGTAGTACACAGGCCAAGTGTGCCGCGGGAGCCAAGAAAGTAGCGTCTTTGCCTGCGCGTCTGCGTCAAGGAGAGCCCAGAGCTGAACAGCTCGCTTTCCGCCACTCATAATGATGCCTGAACCATCGGGAGACAGTTGTATGGTGCGGTGCCACATCATTGGGTCTAGGACTAGGAGGCAAGCCTCCATTTTGGTGTCCCAGAGTCGCATGGTCGTATCGTCTGACGAGGAAATTATGACTTCTCCATCAGGGGTGAAGGCGACCAACCCTACTGTGTCTGCATGTCCCTCGAACTGGAGTAGTTCTCCTCCCTCCAAATTCCTCACTAGAACACGACAATCAACCCCTCCTGACACGAGGTGGTCCCCACTCGGAGAGAAAGTGACTGACCAAACGGGTGTGTTATGTTCCTTGAATGTCACTAGGGATGTTCCAGTGGCGACGTCCCACACAATGACAGTCATATCATCAGAGCCCGTCGAGATGCGTCTTCCATTGAGGGAAAAAGCGATGCAGCGAATGTAGCCACTGTGTCCCCAAAACTCGCGAATTGGTTCACCCGTCGCGATGTCCCAGAGACAAGTGGGATACTCTTGAGAATTTCCGGCTTGAGAGATGTTCCCCGTGAGCAGGTATTGGCCGTCCAACGAGAACATGATTGACGAGGACTGGCTACCGAAGCAGTGCGGCATGTAGCCCACGACACCCCTGTACATGAAACTGCTCGGGGAATAAGAGCCCCAGTCGGTAAGGTACAACTTGCCTTCTAATCGAGTACATAGGTGTCCTGCGGCGGCATCCCAGAGCACCAGATCTTCCTCTGTCGCCATGAGGATTGTCACACAGTCTGGTGAAAAGGCCATGTAAAGGATCCCCAAGGATGCGGGTAAACTCTTGTACGTCAAGTCCCACGTATCGGTCTTGACCACCTCGATAGATTGATCTGAGTCATTGCGCTCCAATAGGGCACGGCTCCCATCGTGGGAGAAGACGGCACAAATGTAGCTCACCGGTTCCTCGCCGAGCAAACCGAGTGCCTTGTCGGTGTTTCCGGATTGTGGCATGTCCACTCCACGCTTCGCCACATCCCAAAGTCGGAGGGTGCCATCCCACGAGCCAGACACGATGCGAGTCCCGTCTCGATTGTGAGCGACGGTACTGACAGACCGGATGTGACCTGTAAATGCATGTCGAACACCGCCACGAGCAACGTCCAGGACAAGAACAGCGTTCTGCGACCCACACACGAACTCGCCTTCTGTCGGAAGGAAGCTGGGACTGAGGATGGATACGGATAGTGGGTCCAATGGCTGGAAGTCGCGAACGTGCTCTGCAGTCTTGACGTCCCAGATGGACAGTCGCCCCGGGCCAATTGGAGCGATCAAAATCTCGGAGCTGTCCGGTGTGAAGGCAGCAGTATGACGCGAGCCCTCGCCTTTGGACTTCAATGTACGGTGAGTGT